TCTCTTTCTCCTCCTCCTCCCCTGGGGTTGATTATCCAGGGAAAACGAGGCGCGTGAGCTACCCTACACGAGCACTTAAACATTTTAATTTTCATAAAGCGCTTGTAAATAAAACATAATACATTTGAATCTTCAGTTGTTTGTTTTATCCTCCTTTCCTCTTCTCTTTTTCCTTTTCATGTATTATTCTACTTTTCTTTATATATATATTCTCTCTTTAAGTCCTTCCTTTCTTTTTCTTTATGATCTCTCTCTCTCTCTCTCTCTCTCTCTCTCTCTCTCTCATCTCGCTCTCTCTCTCTTCTCTCTCTCTCTCTCTCTCTCTCTTCTCTCTCTCTCTCTCTCTCTCTCTCTCTCTCTCTCTCTCTCTCTCTCTCTCTCTCTCTCTCTCTCTCCTCTCTCTCTCTCTCTCTCATGCCCCCCCACCCCCCCCCCCGCCCCCCCCCCCCCCCCCCCCCCCCCCCCCCACACGCACACACACACACACACACACACCCCTCTGAACTTTTTTATCCCTGGGGTTGATTACCCATGGAAAATGGAGCACATGGGCTACCCTGCACGAGCACTTAAAAAATTTAATTTTCATAAAGCGCTTGTAAATAAAATCTAATACATTTGAACTTGAGATTTTTCCTTCTCTTTCTCCTCCTCCTCTGTTTTCTTTTCTTCTCGATGTTTCCCTTTTTCTTTTTGATTTCTTATTGTTTCTTTTCATTTTTGTTTTTGCATATCGCTTTCTCCATTCCTCCGCCCGCCTGAACTTCATTATCGCCGCGGTTGATTATCCAGGGACACCGAGGCGGATGAGCTATTCCGAGGATGTCTCAAGCGAAACAAGCATATACTCGAGGATGTCTCAAGCGAAACAAGCATATACTGAAGGATGTCTCAAGCGAAACGATGCGTTTCTTAAGCGAAATAAGCAAAAGTTTGACGGTGTCTCAAGCGAAATAAGCAATAGGGGGTGGATGTCCCAAGCGAAACAAGGGATTTGTCGAGGATGTCTCCAGCGAGATAAGCCATTGTTGAGGATAGTTCTATGATGACTAAACGCCAAGGATGTCTCAAAACGTGCTCGGCTTGGTCTCCTCTTGATCATCTCTTACTTCGAGATTATGCTGAGGTCTGGTGGGCGACTTTGATTATCTCCCCCTGAACCCCGAACTTTTTTATCCCCTAGTGCTTATTCTCGAAAGTATTCGGTTACTTGCACGTCGTTGAAACCCGCGTCTTACGCGGCGACTTCTCCTGCGCCCATGCCATTGCCTTCTTGGCCGACTCCGTCACGCTGACATCGCACCCCTGCTCGAGATTCAAGCGTCGGCGCTCGCGGCACTCGGCCGTCGCCCCCGCAGTCGGCCGAGAGGCTCTGCCTGGCCGTCAGCGCTCTGCTGGATCTTCACCTGCTGGGCCGGCTGAACCTTCGCCGCGACTGGGGGCGCTGACTTCGCCGCGTTTGGCACCTGCTGGCGGATCGCAGGCGGCGCCCACGCGGGCGCGCGACCTGGCAAACCCGAGAATCCATCGCCGAGCTCCTTCTCCACGGGAACCCGCTTCGACCCGTCTGGTCAGAGGCGCGTCGCTTCTACCAGGAGGACCTCCGTCTTGCCCAGCACTTTCTTGATCCTGCCCTTGTGCTGGGACTGCTCGCGCTTCTCAATCGGGCGCCACCATGGTCACCGTCGGCCCCAGGTCGCCCTTGACCATCTCGTTCAGCACCCGCTGCGCCACCTCGGACTGTGGTTGGGTAGTCCCCCGAGAAGCCCTTCTTCGGAGCGTAGTCCAGCCTGAGAGCGCACTCGTCGCGCTCCAGCCACGCACTGCGTTTCTCTGTTGGTAGCTCGACACCTCGTGCTGGCCACGACGCGGGCAGCCGCTGCACCGCGGGCGCGCCCGACTGGGCGGGCGCGCTCCGCCCCGCAAGATGCCCCCGCGGTCCGCGCATGGAGCCTCGGAGCGCGTCCGAGGCATGCGATGTGGAATAACAGGATTGAGGTCTCCACAGAGCCTGAAGTCGGCTCGAGAGGTCCTGGAGCCCACGCGCCAGCGGAGGGGTCGAGATCGAGCTGGAAGACATCGTGCCAACGGAGAAAACTTGATGGTCGGTTCGGCTGGTCTCTACCGTCCGTGAAACAACATGACCTGGTGAGTCTCGGATCGAATGGCGCGGTCGAAACAAACGGTCCCTTATGGTCATCGTTCGCTGGAATCGCTCGAAAGAATCACGAGCAGGATCAGGTCGCCGTCCTCCTCGGTCGTCCGGATCGCCAGGTCGAAGAAGATCACGCCCGCGATCTCGACCCAGGTCATCTCCTCGTAGATTGTGTCCGCGATCTCGCTCGGGAAGTCATCGTCGCTCGGAATCCTGCTGCCCTGACAGTATCGAGTCTAACTGCGCCGGGGCATCTGACTGACGACGGTGATGATGACGGGCCGCATTTGATTGACTATAGAAACAATCTCCCAATATTTTCTGGTCACCCGTATGCCCTGGGGA